TTGACTGTTAATCACGCGGCCTCTTAATTTGCTATTAAACTCCATACTTAGGTTCTATTAAACTGTAATGAGCAAAAAACACAAACGAAAATAAAAGAAATGTTTTAGCGAAATTTACATCTGACATTTACGTCTGAATGAAATAGTGAAATACTTGATGCGCAGAGTGTACTTTCATTGCGTAAATCCGTCGGGATGCCTGTCAGTAGTGCTTTCTCTGTCTAGCCGTCGAAAGCCTCTAGAAATTTGATGAACTGTACATCGAATTCTATTATAGCAGTTCCTCGCGGAATCCATCAAAACAACGAAAACGAATAAGTTTAGGCCATTCAGGTCTCTCAGAAAAGCAGTAAATAATAAATATGTACAAATAGGTATTGGATAATAATACAAAAACCAAAATTGTTGATGTTATATCCAAAATTTCTCAAGCCACCGGTAAGTTTCACTCATTACTTTCAAATTAAAAATAATATTACTCAACATTTTTCTCACAGTTATTGCAAAGTCAACTACTTACCGATTATTGAAATATTACTGCAATAATGGAACAATATCTAGTCCAAAAAGTATTTATGGAAGACGAGGACTTCTAAAAACATTTTGCAAGAATTGAAACATTTTGATTTGCCACAAATATATTATTTATCTTCATATACTTTCTTGAGACATACCATAAGTAAGTTGTAACTTTGAACAATCAAATGTACTGTTTATTTATTATGTATATTTTTTTAGATATTTGAAAAGAAATTGTCAAAGTGTATTGATAGAATGCTATATCTGTAGATTTAAAATCCATCAAACAATGTAGAAAAGAAAACATGCCAAGCTCTTACTTAGATGAAGATCATAGTAAGGTTTATCCACAGGCCTGAAAAGCCTTACAAGAAAGTGAAGATGTTTTAATATTATACATGCTAATTCTGAAGGTTTTGTAGAAAATGCATCTACCATGAAGAGACGAAATCCGAAGTATTTTAGAATTAGTTTTCTACTTTTTTTACAAAGTTTCCCAATGATGCTATGTTTGTGATGGAAAATGTATCATATCATAGTTAAAAAGTTGAAAAAATTTATTTAAATATGAAGCGATCAACTTTTACACCTAATTTAACAACATAAAGATGCACATAATTTGTATGTTGTTGATGAAATGGCTAAAGAAACCAATAAAGTTGTGTAGTGGCTGCCTCATATCACTGCTAGTTAAATCCCATAGAATTTATAGAGGCACAAATAAATGAGGTAGCAGCTAAAAACACTACCAATCTTCTTATGTAGATTAACATATTGAGTACTTTGTGTTTTTTGTTTCTGTTTCAATGTAAATGTAAGGATCTACTTTGTCTTTTCACTTATGTTGTATAGGCACTTCTTATGCATTTTCCTGTTTTTTTTTTCAACTTTATTAATAATTAAAATATAGCAAATTCACAAAATAAAGATACTACTATTCATATGTTGTTTGTCTAACTTATATTAAAAAAAAAAATACAAAACTACAGTGTAGTATACAAAAATTACAACTGCTGTCATTTTTATTGTAAAATTTAAAGGGTGCTACCTTACACATTTAAAATGATTACTTTTTAAGCCACTCTGTATTTAACTTTTAAATAAAAATTCCTGTTCTGCAAGGTATAAGTGGTAAGAGTAGAGTTGAGCAGCTATTTTTGAGATATCTGGATTTATAAAAGGGCTTCCTTTAAATTTTACAATGACAATGAGAGCAGCTTTAAATTTTTGTAGTTACAAACTAAAAATATTAAATTTATTTAAATATGAAGCAATATCAACTTTTACACCTAATTCGGCAACCCCTCCAAGCCAAACATTTTGAAAATACACCAATTTATTAAAAAATATATTCATGAAAAACTAAATTGAACTTTTAACACTCTGTATTTCCGAAATCATCCACTTTTGGACGGATGTAAGTTGGGTTAAATCCTTATATTTAAGGTAGCATTTTTTCCGCAATATTATAAATTGGTCAACATTGCTTTTTGGGTGTTCTACTTCTGATTTTTTTTAACTAAATAGTGATGAATTTCTAATCATAATGTAAATGTAACTAAATATTCAAGTAAATTTTATTTATTTAAAAATAAACCATTTACAAAATTGTTAATTATCATTTAAAACTACAAAATATTTTGTATATATTTAAAGTGCTATTCCCATCTGAATATGTCCATAATTTGTGGTGTTTATTCCGTTATTGTGGCTTTAAAAAAATGTGAATATTAAACCTAAAAAAAATAACTTTTTTTATTATTTTAAATAAATAGCTTGGTACTTAAATAATCAAAATCATAATGTGTTATCACTGTAACATTTGTTTCGGCATCCTTTTTAAACATTAAATTGCTATATGTATGTAAAAGGACTTTCCAAACAAGTATCAAAAATGTTCTCTAGATATAATGTAAAAATTGCTGGTAAACGAAAGGATACAACGAGAACGTTATTTTCAAATTTTAAACCCAAACTCAAGAAAATAAATCAACTAAATGTAGTTTATAAAATAGATTGCAAAGATTATAACTACACTGACACATATTATTAAATCTGTGAATGTGCAAAAGATTTGTCAAACATTTATTTTAATTTAATCAACTAGTTGTAAGCTATTTTACCGCCACTGGTACCTACACACTATCACAAATAAATAGATGGATTTTGTCCATGATCATTTTAAAGTGTTTGTTATGTCCCTAAATGTTTTTTTTTTAATTTTAAAAAGCTGTGACTGCACCAGGAGATGGAATTTTATTCCGGAACATAATATGTACTGTTGAATTATTAAAAATATAATCTATGGATCACACTAAAGACCTTCTATTTGTTTATAAAAAAATATATTAAATTGCCTGTAGGAAATCCTTTTGCTGACACAAAGTTACGAATCACCTTTTTTATGAATAGCCTTAATCATTTTTATTTGTCTGTACTATAAATGATCATACAAAATTAAGATAGATATTATCTTACCTGCAAATAAACATTTAATATTCAAAAGATTTAAAGGATGTCTCAAAAAAATATACCATCTGCTTTATATTGTATAAAAATAATGTTTTCGAGAAGACCAAAGACGACTGTTACACACTGTGGAATTTATTGCAACAATTATCTACAAAAAAAACAGGAGAATGATAAAAAACATTATTATAATAAAATCTGGTACTATTACACTTTCTTAGACTTCCACATATATTTAATGATCTGTTGCCAACAAGTTTACACTTTCCACTGTTGAAGATAACATCTTGTTAGTGGGGACAAAATTCGTATAGTTATGATCCTTGTCCATTTGATTTTTTTGATTTCGAAACACTTGTCTGCAAACCTATCCTATAATATACTTCAGAACTTTGCTACATTTTACCTGAAGAAAGAACCTTTATTAATTAGGAAATCCATACAACAACTAATGATAATCTTGTAGTTTAATTTTGAGAAAAAATGTTACAATAAAATAATAAAACTATACCTATAAAGAAATATAAAAATAAACAATATTTTTTGTACCTTCCAAAATTCTGAATTTTTAATAAGCACTTTTTTAACTACAGTTCCTCCTAAATGTTTTGTGGGTAGGTAGGTAATAATAGGTGCCTAAATCATTTCAACAAATAGAACTGGCATTCCTATTTATCTAATTTTTTCATCAAATTAAAATACCCACTATTTCCTTTTTTCTTCTGTTATTATAAAATGTATATAATTTTCTAATCACAGTTACTTATAAAACAATGACTTCAATATCGAATTAAAACTCTATGTTAAACTTAAAATGTAAACAAATGTTTTGTATTTTGTTAGGTGACATTTTACTCATTTTACTGACATTTATTAGCTGCTTGGCTTGGGTGATTCTCTTTGCATCATACAGGTGCGAGCTGCGATATGAGACGAAGTAACGAAAAAATAAAAGTAAAATAATTATAAATCAAAAACGGAATGAGCACAATTTGGTGTCATCTTTATTCGTTGGTTATCTGAAACGTTGACTTCAATGCATTCATAACAAAGTTTTAAAATGTTTTTCTTGAAATGATACAACACAAATTCAAATTTACCGCTAAAATGATATCTAATTACTTTTTAGTTATTTTGCCTGTGTAAATAGGAATTTTCAAATCGCTCCTCTTAGTTTGAAAACAGAGTATAGAACAAAATAACACAACAGATAATAAAATCGATTATAAACGTCGAACGCCGATCTTCAGGTTATAACTAAACTTGTGTCGATTCTGTCTTGTCAGTAGTGCCAATTTAAAATTTACTGATCATGGCGTCCATCATATTGGGGGTCAAACTTTTTTCACAACGCGGTATCTAGACTTTCTGAGAGCTATGGACGTGATCAAGATCGAGACATATCAAGTCGGCATTCGGCTCTTGTCAAAAAAATCACCCTTGAAATCGTTGTAATTTGTTATAGAAATTAAAATGCAGTTGTTTAAGTGTTTTAATATAGTTATTCAAACTATATCAAAGCAAGCCATAACAGCCTGATTTTGTCCTGGTGACGTTTTCTTAGCTTCCACAGATGAAAGAAAACCTAAGCCATTTCAAGAAATAAAGACCGAACAAGTTCTTTTAGAGCGGACCTCATAAACGAGGCATAATTTAAAAATAAATCTAGTTTGGCCATTAAAGACAACCAAAAAGCATTTTAATAATTTTTATTTTAAATTAGTTTTCGCGTATTTTAAATAATTTTTTATACGTAGTTCCTACCAACGCGCGGCACTATCTTTTATATCGTCTATCGCGAGTCTCTAATATTTAAAAGCACAGAATAAATAAATGTATACGCAAACTAGTGATAAAATACATCTTTGCTAATAAATGAATGGCAGAAGTCAACAAATGAGTGGCATAATAGAATATCTATTACAACCCTGCAGCGGAACTACTTGGAAAAGATAAGTACTTACTTCCAAAATACGCCTTGTACTTTGTAAAATGCTAATTTTTGTATTTACCTTCCTTAATTTTGGTTTTTCCTTAGCTTTGGCAAGTTCTTCCTCTAAATAAGTTCTGACACCCATTTTACAATCCATTACGCAAGGCGACACGAAATCTCCCAAGAGATCCTGCAATTGTATATAGCAACAGTCTCCGTCATCGCTGGTAACCAATCCTTTGTACTCAGGAATGTAGGGCCTTAGGATGTCTTTCATTAAAATCTAAAAATAGAAAAATATTACTTAGCTACAGAAATATAAAAAGGCATTTTCAGTTAATAATCGAGTAGCAGCCTAGGGATTTTTGTAACTGAGATAAAAATTAACTCTTCAAAGGCCAGTATCGAAGTTGACACGGATCTTTTTGGTATAAGAGGGAAAGCCCACTCACGCGACATGTCGCGCGCAACTGATCGCGCGCGGCAATACTTTTAATGTTTTTAAATGACCACGCGACAGAACCGCTTTAATGGACTTTGAGTCATTTAAAAACATCAAAAGTATTGCCGCGCGCGATCAGTCGCGCGCGACATGTCGCGTGAGTGGGCTTTCTCTCTGAAACGAAATAATTCTGTTGCCGCAAAGTATATCAAAACTTCAATGTAAAATAACATGACATCGGAACATTTTCAAACTAACAATATTTATAATTATTCAAACAAATCATTGGGCATGATAGCATCTGTTACTAATTTGTAGAGCTAGAAATATATGCAAAACGCCATATTTTGCATATGTTGCATATATATAGAATTTTTGATTTTGAATGCATATATTAACATTTTGTTAATTTTTTGGCATATATCTGACGTACTAATTGGCTGGACATATTAAAATTATGAGTTTTAGACCAAAATAATATTTTGTGAAATGCCTTTACAGGTCGATTTTCTAAAATTTTGAAGGATTAACTTTTCCCTGTAATAAATTAGGGTTAATGGTGTAGGTACTTAAGAAGATTAAATTATAAACACCCTCCTTAAACCAACAAATTTTACTTTCAACTTCATTTCAGTCTTTATTGTTGTGTTGTGTTAACCAGTAGGAAAAGTGGCAAAATTAATTGAGTCGTGGGTAAAATCTTATTCAGATTTTGTTGTAGAAGGTGATAACCAAGTGTTTTCTAAAACATGTTCTAAAATTGTAAGTACTTTTTTATTTTATATTTTATTTTGACCTTTCATAATGGTTAATCAAACGACAGTAAAATATTGTTTCAACTCACAGTTAAAAAAAAAGTAGGACAACTTTACAACGTACGCATTTATTTAATTTAATTAAAACTTCAACATCTACAGGAATTTATTTGTTTTAGATTCCATGTAAAACAAAGTTTTAAATCGACCAACACGCGAAAACACCCTCACATATAGCAAAGCAGAAATCTAAAGACACTCGCAGACAAAGTCAACTTCCCTTGAAACAATATTTAGAATCTGGATCGTCTAGAAGTGAAAAAGCTATTTTTAATGAAGATTTATGCAAAGCTTTAGTGACTTCGAATATCCCTTTAATACGATTAAATAATCCAAATCTCCGATCATTTTTGCTATACTATAAATTTAATATTCCAGATCAAAGTATATTACGCAAACGTGGTGTTAACAGTTTGTACATTGAGACTCGTGAAAAAATTCATCAGATTACCGTTGGAAACCATTTCTACATTATTGTGGATGAAACAACAGACTCTTGTGTTCGATATATACCCCCATTTAATGATAGGTTCATTACGCGAAGAAATGCAAATTGGTCCATATCTAATCGCTTCAAAGCAATTAGATAAAACAAATAACTTGACAATAACTCGTTTTATCCAGACAGAATTGTCTTCCTTTTTTCCTCCGGAAGCCGTTCCAACAGAAAAATGTTTATTGCTGTTATCCGATGCTGCCCCGTACGTGGTAAAAGCCGCACAAAATTTAAAAATGTTTTATGAAAACTTAATCCATGTTACATGTTTGGCTCATGGCCTTAACAGAATTGCAGAAGAAATTAGGTCTAACTTTCCTTTAATAAATGATTTAATTAGTAATGTAAAAAAAATATTTCTAAGAACTCAATTGTACAGAGAAACATTTCCTGAATTACAGATGCCACCGGAACTTGTGATTACTCGGTGGGGTACCTGGCTTAAAGCTGCCTTTTTTTACGCAGATAATTATGAAAAAATTAAAGAAATCATATTTGATTTTGATGATTCATCTAAGGGAATATCTAATACAAAGAAGTTGTTTCAAAATCACATATTACCAAAGCAATTAGTGTTTTTAAAAAATTATGCATTTGTATTCAAAATTATATTAGATTTAGAACAAAAAAATTTACCTTTGGTGACTTCAGTAAATTTAATTAAGACGTTTGAATCAGAGTGTAAAAATGTCCAGGGCGATATTGGAAAGACGATTTTTCATAAATTTTCAAATGTAATTTTAAAAAATGAAGGATTTATTGTTTTAAGAAACCTTGCTAATATTTATTCTGTTAACTTTGAAGATATTAATACTATTCATCCAGATATTTTAGGAAAATTTAAGTTTGCACCTATTACTTCTGTAGATGTCGAAAGGAATTTGTTTACATACTTACTGATAGGAGACAATCATTTAATACAAATAATTTAGAAAAACATCTAATTGTTTTATAATAATGTTGATTTGTAAATAAAATTAGTTAATAATTAAATAATTATTAAGTATTATATTAGGTATTGTAAAATAAAACAAATAATAAATATTAATAAACTATTTCGATCAAATAACAAATTACTCTTATTACATATGCTCCGCATATTTTTCAATTTTTTACGCATATACTGAAGTATTTTGCGGCATATATATGCGCATATTTAACTACTTTTTGGATGCATATATTCCTAGGTCTAGTTATAATTTATATCTCAAGAATGAAGTAATAAGCCTTGAAACATAAAGTCAGCATACATTTATGTTTATTATTATATATTTTATATCTCAAGGACGAATATTGTCTTTAAAAAATGGAACTAGCGTATATCCATGATTAGTGTTATATTTTAGGTCTCAAGGACGAATAATCAGCCTTGAAAGAAGGAGTCAGCATACATCGATGTGTAGTGTTATATTTTATGTCTCAAGGATGAATACCAAGCCTCGAAAGATTAAGTCAGCATACATCCATGGTTAGTTATATTTTGTCTTTGCAACTCTAATATTTTGTTTAGATTAATATTGATTTTTAATAAAAAATTTAGCGTATATTAAAACTTTAAAGAATACTTTGATTAAAAACATGTTTTTATTTATATAATATAAAATTATAGTTACAGGATACATCAAATTTAATTTGTTGAAAGTTATTTTTCCAAATCATTTTTACAGACTGATAAAACTGGCAAAGACGCAATAAACAAGAATCTGGTGGGAACAATGATTTACCACATAAAAATGTAAACAATTTGGTCTCTTAGTTGTAATGTATTTGGTATACATCCATGTTCAGTGTTATATTTTATATCTCAAGGACGAATACCAAGCCTTGGAAGATTAAGTCAGCATATATCCTTGGTTAGTATTATATTTTATGCCTCATGAACGAATAATAAACCTTGAAAGATGGAGTCAGCATACATCCATGTTAAGCGTTATATTTTATGTCTCAAGGGCAAATACTTAGCGATGGGGTCAGCAAACTTTCATGAAATATTTTATATATGAATTGTTTTTGAGGATTACAAATTAAATGATGGGGTCAGCATACTCCCATAAATTATTTTATTTATAAATTGATTTTCAGGATAACATACTCCTATGAAATATTTTATTTATGAATTGTTTTTTAGGATTAAAAATTGAAGCATAGGTCAGCATACTGCCATGGAATATTTAATTTATGAATTACTTTTCACGATAACAACTTGAAAGATGGGATCAGCATACTAACATGAAATATTTTATTTATGAAATGTTATTCAAGATTACAACTTAAAGCATGGAGTCAGCATACACCCATGGATTATTTAAATTATGATTTATTTTTCAATATTACAATACCTATTTAGGCTTGGGGTCATGAAAGTATACATTGAACCTTGGCATTTAGGTCACGTTTTACTTTTTTCCACAGAAAATGAAGACACCATAGTAGAAATGGATACATATTTCGTGAACGAAACATTTGTCAGTCTGGCCGTGAGAGTCAGCAAATTAGAATACCCTCGCCACTGGGGTCGACGGTACCAGATTGCACCCATTGCAGTATCCAATAGAGAATGCAAACACTTGAATTTCGATCAGCCGAAAGCAAACAAATAAGCTTTATGCTCGTTAAATGCATTCTTTATTTTGTTCCTTAAAATTAATTAATTAGATTTTAAACATTGTTTAAGAGATATTTAATAATACATTATAAAACTATGTTAATACGTGTTTTGTGAAGTGACTATATAGGGTGTTATAGTATACAGATTGATAAATCATCTAAAAACGATAATTTTAAGGTTAATTCGTTAAAAATATAAAATAAATTCACGGGTGCATGAGTAAAGGGGCATAAGTAATTTATCACATTACAAAATGAACGCGCTTGCTTGGGATAAATGTCACAAGTCAAAAGTGTATTATAGTAAGGCAATGGATATGTGCATTCCTGCTTGTGTAAATAGATTTAAGTATTGTGAAAAATGAATTATGTCCGACACATTTTCATATATATGTGAAAATAAAAATATTTGCTTTGCTAAAATGGAGCAAATCAGACTTGATCCATTTTTCACCATTTCAATTTATTGTTTTCTTGTACCTATAAAATCATGTCAGGACTTGATACGTTTTACACATAAGAAGTATATTGCAGCTGTTTGACTTAAACCATTTAACAAAAAAGTCATATTTGCAAAATGACATAAGCAGAGATTTGGCAACATATTATTGTTTGTGACGGTTAAGAAGTTTATTGTTCTCGGTTTTATAGACCAACTGACTGTGAAAGATGAGCAGCAGGGCACAAAAAATTTTGAATTTGCAATTTATTGAAAGAAAGCAATCATGAAACTTATACTCATCAAGGTAAGTTATAAAATTATTAATTTAATCGGAAAGTTGAAACAAACTGATAACTGAACATAACCTAACTTGTTTCGTCCTGGGCCGCGTTCGGCTTCCAGTGTGGAAACGTTGCCAAGTTTATATTTTTTTTCCAACAAAATAGGAAAATGTATTTCAAAGTACATGTTCAAACTCTTACACAAGATAAACAATAGTTCAGGCATTATAAAGATATTCTTTGATGGTTGCAGACGAGGACGATCAGAGCAGCGAAGCTCCTTCACTGGACGAAGCTGTTCGAAAGGAAATTATCATTGACTCTGATGATTCTATTAGGGATCCAGATTTTTAACAACCCGGGACTTCATCTGGTAGTGAAAGCGATGAATATGTAACAATTTAAATAAGACAACGACAGACAACAGCAAATAGAGAGGAGCAAGTTATTGTCAACAATACCAATAGAGCCAGACATAATAGGGGCAAAAAGCGTGCAATAAAAGGAGATACGAGAGCTGTACGACAGCACAGAAAGGAGAAACGTAATACTGGCCAGGAATATGTAAATTTCAAAGAAAAAAAAAAAGCTGCACGCATCATGCAGCCTCTTAAACCTTGCAGAAATAAGTGTAGAGAAAATATTTCTGAAGAAGAAAGACATAAACTCTTTACTGAATATTGGGCTGTGGGGGATTATAATAGAAAAACAGCTTATGTTGCTGGTTTACTTGAAATTAAGAAAAAAGCAGTATCAAGACCCCGTACGTCTGTCCCAAATAAAAGTAAACACCGCATGAATACAGTCTTGTATCATTTGCAAGTAAATGGTAGGAACGTTTCCTTGCAACCTTCAATGAACCTCAAAGATTTATAAGAAATGTAATTGAGAAAAAGTGTTCAACTCAGTCTGGAATTACAGTAGCTGATGGCAGAGGAAAAAGTGCACAACCAAACAAACGAACCTTGCAAGATATAGAAAACGTTCGGCAACATATACTTTCAGTGCCTACGTATGAAAGTCACTACACACGCAGAGATTCTACAAAAAAGTATTTGCCGCCATACGTCACACTGACCGATGAGTACAAACAGCAATATCCCGTGAAACTCGTGTCAAGATTTGTATAGGAACGTGAGTTCCACCAATTAAATATCAGCATAAAGCGTCCTCATAAAGACACCTGTGAAAAGTGTGATAAGTTATCAATGCAAATTAATCTTGATCCAACTAATACTATACTAAAAGATGATCTTGCGCAACATCATAAACTTGCAGACTTAGCTTATCTGTCTAAAAAGAAAGACAAAACTGTTACCAAAGATGATCCAGAAAGGAATATTGTAACCTTTGACTTGCAACAGTGTTTACCGACACCTGTAGTGCAATCATCACTTGCCTTTTACAAAAGGCAGCTATGGACTTTTAACCTGACAATACACGACTGTGATACCAGTCAAGCCACATGTTTTGTGTGGCATGAAGCTATAGCAAAAAGAGGTAGTGACGATATCGGTTCTTGTTTATATAAGTACCTACAGGAAGATCTGGATGTCCATGTTAATCATATAATACTGTATTCAGATACGTGTGGCGGTCAAAACAAAAACACGAATATTGCTGCAATGTGTATGAAAGCCTTACAAGATTCCACTCATTTGGAAACTATAGATTACAAGTTCCTGATTCCAGGTCACACTCATATGGAGTGTGACAGTGACCATAGTTTAATAGAAAAAAAGAAAAAAACATTTAATGGACCAATAGAGCATCCACATGATTGGGCGCAACTAATGCGTCAGGTTGGGAAAAAAAAGCCCTTTTCTGTAAATTAAATGACACAAAATGACTTTTACGACTTCTCTCACTTATATAAAGGACCACTAGTAAACAGAAAACTTGATCCTTCTGGTTATCCCAACTGGCATCACGTACGTTGGTTAATATATGAAAAGCGATCTTTTGGACTTCTAAAGTTTAAAACATCTCTTGAAGACAGTGATGAATTCCATTCAGTAAGTTTTAGAAGAAGAGGAAAAATACCTATGATATTAAATCCACCTCTCAGTTATGCTGGACCAGTTCTCATATCTAAAGAGAAAAAACGTGATCTAATAGATTTGCTACCATTTATATCACGTACTTTTTGGGATTTTTACGAAAATTTAAAGACTGCTGAAGATGTGGTGGATGTTAATCCTGATTTAGCAGATGTTGCTGAACCAGAAGATTCTGAGGAATAGTAGTTTCCATTTTCTAAGTTGTCTTTTTAGTTTCATAATGTTTTTCATTTTAATGTATTGTAGTTTTTTAGTGCCAAAAAGCATAAGTCAGTTTTTGTGACATGTGACATATGACATAAGTCACATGTTTTTTTTTAATTTTGTCTTTTTATTTTAATAAAATAAATGTTTTTAACTTCTGCCTGCCTATTTTCCTAAAGAATGTATTCCTATTTACACTATGGCAACAATTAAAAAAAAAAATATGTACATACAGATTATACACAAATCTTCAAACATAAATTGCTTGTTTCTTGAATTTTATGATTTATGACTAATGCCCCTTTACAGCTGTGAATTGGCATGTGGCACCATTTAGATTCTTAAAGATTTGTTTAAATTGTTCCATAAACAATGAAGAAAATAGGTACTGCGTTAAAATTTCGGTTTTTATAAAGAAATCAATATCATTTAATTTGTATAATTTTTATATTTGACTAGCGCAATCACAATGGCATTACCAATATAATGTTAAAATAATCGGGCCTGAAATATTATTATTTTAAAAGTTATTGCTCGAAACTTTTGTTTTTCTTTTGTGGACGCTCCGTTATTATTTTCTCTGATGAGGACTTTTGTCATGACTAAAAATGTATTGTAGTTAAACATATAAAATAAATCAGCTCACCTTAAAGCATTTTTCTTCTTTCGCACAAAGTTTCTTCAAAATCGTACCCTGATCTGGTCCAGCTTTGAAATTTCCTTGGTGCCCAGCTAGTTGTACCCAAGGATACCTCTGCTTCTTGTAAGTTTGGAAAAACGGCGTCCATTGCACAATATTTCTAAGTTTTCTCCATCCAGATGGCTGTAAAAAATGCTTTGTAAATATTTTTGGACTGTAGAATTACAATGATCAAAATTATGTAAGTATTTGCTGTATTTTCATAATTAAGGATTAATAAAAACTACAAAAAAATGCGTAAAATTGTACAAAAAAATCAATAAACATGTTACATAGTAGATATTTAGTGTTACATATAAATTAGTTCTCTAAAAAATTAAATAATAAACTTTGATATATTCGCAATTATTAAAAAATGGCAATTTAAAATTTTTTCACTATGTAGTATCCAGTAGCACTTTAAAAAACCTATGCTATCATATCGTGGGCTCAGAGCGAAAACTCACTAAGTCACAATTTTTCGATTTTTAGATTTCTATGCTATGACGTACAGAGCAAAACATTACATGGGGAAAATTAATTATCTCACTGCTTAATCAAAGAGAGGGTCGTAGGTATTGTGTTAAGAGGCAGTTTACCTAGACTTGCCTATTATCCTTACTTGGGTGCAGGCCAGTTCTATCAATTAAAGTAGACGAATTTCTAACTGTATATTCATGGTTATGATAAAAGATAAATGTTGTTTTTTTTAGAAAAATGTATATTTTAAACGAATCTTTTAAACAAAATGATAGGTATTGAAATCTACAGCTGGCGTACCAATTAAATAGATATCTATCCGGGTGGTTTACAGTAAATATATACAAATATACAAGTCAATCTCGTTATATAAAAATAATAATATGTACAATTTATTTACAGGATATCCCTGAGCACTGAGGGTGGGAAATGTCCTGCTAGGTTCAATCCTAGGAGTGCTTAACTGGCGTTATTTTAATAAATTAAAATTGTTTTACCTGGGTGTCAAATTAGGTAATACAAACGTATGTCAATGTTTGATTCGTCTTATTCGGAGGGTGTTTGTGTCGTCCTATCAGTATCTTGGCCTCAAATGGTAAGCCTAGGTCCTATTGACTTCCGTTGTATGATTTAGGTTCTATTTTAGATAACTGCGGTAAACGAGGTTACCTCCAGGGATGTAAATGGTAACTGGGTATCTAGTAGTAGTATCCAACAGTTGATTCCACAAATAAAACTAACTCGTCTTATAGTAATGTCCAGATATATGAATAAGATCCACCAGAATACGAAATGGCAAACGAAAAGCGTAAGTTAAGAAAGAAAAGAAAAAGGAGAAAGGGAAAAGGCCTGAAGATGAAATGTGGCCTTATTTGATGTGAGTTATTTAGTTTATTGAAAACCAAATCCCAATGGTATAAGTAATTATGTTGTCAATTGATTTCTTTTCTAGCACATGAATCCTTTAAAAAAGTTCCTCAAAAGCACATGCTACTTGAAGGTGTACCAGAAAAGTAATGATAGCAGGATATGCATAAAACAAGTTAAAATGACCTCCACAAGAAATTATATTAAATCATGTCAGGTAACATAAAAATATATACATAGCCAATTTCTCACAAACCTAATTCCAAGAATTTCCAGATTATCTGGGGTTTTATTTATTGAATTTTCCAAAATATAAAACAGCTTTCTAAAGTGAATGAGATAATGTCAGAATAAATGTAAATAAACAAAAGAAAATAAACCTGAAACCATTCATCTAATTCAAATCGTTTCTATTTTCTGTTAGACTTCTAGAACCTAACTACAAACTAATTAAGAAAACAATGGAAAATATATCTACAGAGGACCAGAACGAATCTTCAAAACAAGAAAGAAATACTTGATAAAAGTTTAAACTTCTACAATTTCCAATTTGACAATGGACCTATAAAAGGTATCTTTTCATTCTAGTTAACTCACAGAACATGAGAAATGGATCTCCTATTAAACTTCTACCCAAAACGGAGTATACGGAGTGATCTTTTAATAGATTTTATACCTATTATACTTAAATAATAAATTAAATTAAATTAAATGTTAAATGTCAATACTATACAGGGTGTTTATTAGGTACTTGTACAAACTTTAATTGGTGCATCTTTGACTTATTTTAAGGCAAAACGTCCATATGAACACATGTCCCAAACCTCTTAACTTTTGAGCTACAGGGTGGTAAAGTTTTCAGAAAAAAAATTTTTTTTCTAATAACTGTAAGAATATTGCAGATATTTTTACGAAATTTGGAACACGTCTCCTACGCATTATGATGCATTTTTTTATGTACAAATAATTTTATTATTTCTACCAGTGGCGCCCGTACGGGTTTCGTATTAAATATTTTTGCCGAAAAAATAGTACGCCACTGCTTCATCTTAAAATAACAAATATTTTTGCAATCCTCATTTAGTTTTAAGCAAATTTGGTCTGATGAATTTTTTTCTCCGACGCATAGTTTTCGTCCGACGCATAGTATTCTGCATGGAACAAGTGAAAAATGTCTCTTTTATTGATCAATATTGTTGTGATAAACTTAGATTATTTACAGACTAAGACTAAACTACTTTTACAAATGAGTTAATAACATTTACAACAATTGCTGAAAATGCCCGCCGCCTATTGCAACGCATGCGTCAATTCGCCTTAACATTGATTGACGTACTCTTTCGAATATACCTGGTGTCTGATTAATAATGGCACACGATTCAAATATCCTATTTCTTAGATCTTGCTCATTTTGAACGGATGTTTTGTAAACTAGTGTCTTTAAGTGACCCCACAGAAAAAATCCAGAGGATTTAAATCTGGTGATCTGGGAGGCCAGGTTTGCGGTCCCGCTCTTCCTATCCAACGATTAGGATAATTCTCGTTCAGAAATTGACGTGCAGCCAAACAAAAGTGTGCCGGTGCGCCATCGTGCATGAACCACATCCTGTTTCTGGTAGCCAAATAAATGTCTTCTAAATGTTCAGGAAGATCGTGCTCCAAAAATCTTCTGTACTTTTCGCCATTTAGCCTTTGTGGAAGAATGCAAGGTCCAATAAGGTGATCCCCGATAATTCCGACCCAAATATTTAGAGAAAAACGATCTTGGAAATTATTTTCTATGATAGCATTGGGATTATCCCCAGACCAAATATGGTTGTTGTGGAAGTTCATGATGGCGTTCCGAGAAAAAGAAGCTTCGTCTGTAACAAGTACATGGCCTAAGAAATCCGGGGTTGTTAATAATTTATTTCGCAGCCAAACGCAGAAATCTACTCTGAGGGGAAAATCTCTAGGTAGTAATTCCTGTACACATTGAATATGATAAGGATAAAGACATTGAGATTTTAAAATTTGCCACACAATTGTATGCGTAATATTCAATTCATGAGCAATTTTCCTTGTACTAGTTTGCGGGTCTTCTTCAATTCTATTTAACACAGCTTCTTCAATTTCAACTGTTCGAACTGTCGCAGGCTTTCCTGGGATATCAATTGTTCTTTTAAAGCTGTCAGTTTCACAAATTCTTACGTGAATATTAATGAAAGTTTGGACATGTGGAACCACCCATTGAGGAAATTGGGCTTGATATATTCTTTTTGTAGTTTGTGCATAACCGTGAGCCATTCCGTAGACGAAATGAATGTCTGCCATTTCTGCATTGGTATATTCGTACATTTTGAACACAATAATAGAAAATAAATTATTACATACATACCTATATTTTTAAATGACAAAAACCATGATCTTTTTTTAAATAAACTGTTATGACTGATTCCGCTACCATAGAAACCTCTCGGTTGTTTGCAAGGCTTGCTATGCATGTATGTACAATTGTACATTTTAGCAATTTGACTCTGAAATAAAACGAATTTTATTTTTTAAAGCGTAAACTATGCATTGAACGAAAAAACTCAAGAGATTAAATTTGTTTAAAAATAAATGAATATTTCAAAAATAATTTTTGTTTTAAGATGAAGTAGTGACATACTATTTTTTCTGCAAAAATATTCAATACAAAAACCGTAGGTATGGACGCCACTGGTAGAAAACATAAATTTGTACATCAAAAAATGCATCTTAATGCATAGTATACGTGTACCAAATATGGTAAAGATATCTACAATAGTCTCAGTTATTGGAAAAAATAGATTTTTTTCTGAAAACTTTACCATCCTGTAGTACAAAAGTGAAGAGGTTTAAGCCGGCTACAAACGATAAGCGATAATATAATATATATTATAGCTCACATATTATAAAAATATCGCTTTGCATTAAAAAGTGCAAGTCGCCGCGCATTAATGCTATAATATATATTTAATGTTGGACGAAATATGCTTTTCGAGCGATTTTTAGGATATATATTTCCCCCCTCTTGTGTCGCGCTGCCCACCAAAAAAGCAAAACGGCGTTGTTTACATGTTTGTTTTGAACGTGATATGATAAATAAATTTTGTAGGTTTGTAAAATTAGTTGCTATTTCTACACAAATTTATAATATTTATGTTTTAATATATATTTTTTTAAACTCTTTAGTTTTTTAGTAAAAGTCATTTTTCTATAACTAAGAATAATCTATCTATATACATACCTTGAAGTAACTACCAGTCGCTCTAAGGAACTAATGCTTTTCCGCGTATTTGTATTTTGCTTTTCTATTTAATTTTTTATTAAATCATGAAATTCCTAAAAATTAGTTCAGTCCATTCGAAAATAATTTGTAAATTTTTCGTCACTTAATTTGTTAAAAAGTGTAAATTCTCCTCGTTCTTTTCGGTATTTGATGTGATTTGATAACCAGAATCTTATTGTTTCTTTTTTGTTACTAACCCTAATTGCTAATAATAATACATTGTCGCTTTCAGCATCTGATCTTCTGATGAGCTATCAATGGTATCTAGCAATAACAAATTTTTCTCCTTCGCCATTTGTGCAACTACACTATATAGTTCACTGGATCAGCCTATTATATTGAAAAATAAAATATATATATTCTCGTCCACTGCAGTAATAATATAATATATTATAATATAATATTATAGCTCATTGCCGAGCTATAATATATATTATATTATCGCTTATCGTCCGTAGCCGGCTTTAGGACACGTGTTCATATGAACTTTTTGCCTTAAAATTAG